TACAGTCGACCCCCCTATAATTACGGTCCCTATAATTACGATTCCTATAAAACTACAAAAAAATATACGTATTTTGGAAATGTTGAGTCGGATTAGTGTAGAATCGATTAATTTTATGGAAGAAAACCTTTCAATCAGCCGTAGTCCGTAAACTTGACACGTGTCGGGCTGAGATTGAACGACTTGTAAGAAATCGGATTCCTAATAAATTGGAACGTATCTATATCTTATAGGGGGGTCGACTGTAAACACTTCATTGATACTTTTAAGCAAATAGCAAAGGTCTCTAACCTCAAACTTGTCTACAAATGAAAGCCCTAGCATCTACTCTTAGAAATGATAAGAACAGCATGGATAGAAATCTGCTTCCAGGTGTCTACACCATTCCAATCAAGGACACAAGTGTCAACCAGAATTTGGAGTATATGGGAGCAACCAGCCAGTCATTGAACATAAGAAAGAAAGAAATTAAGCCTCCATCATAAGGGACAATTGAACACAGTCTTGATATCTTAAGCTCTTGATAACTAAGCATATATGCAGTTTGACAATAAATGTCTCGTCTCATCCATCGAGTTCAAGATAAAATATACATTAAAACTGGAAAATTTAGAGATTTGTAAGACCAATAGAAAGAACACACCAATAAATTTTAAGGATTGTAACTATTGTAACACACTAGTGAATTCATGGAGATCATGCTTTGGAATTGTGTAGATAGTTTATTATCTTTCTTTGATGTTGCCTACACCTTTCAATCAAATTCCATTCAAATTTTTTAATTCAGAATGTACATTCTATTTTAGAACATCACAATACCTGATGATGACTACTGATTGTAGTTGAAAATGTTTGTATATTATTAAACTTTTGTTGGTGTTAATTTGTTCTGGATTTTCTTTGGTGATTTATGTATAACTCTTTTAATCGTGTTATTTAAACTGACAAATAACACAATAATAGTATGAGATTTTAAAAAATTATTTTTGACTATTTTTGTGCAACAATATGCTTTTTAAGATTATTATTTATTTTTATTTAGTGTATAAAACTGAAATATGTTCTTCAAATTATTACATTGAAGATATTGATGTTTCTGTCTGAATTTATTGCTTTTTCATTTCTCTTTAGTTCTAATTTTTTGCATTTATGTCATCCTGCATCATGTTTGAAAATCATCTAATATTTGTTTTTACAATAAATTTTTCACAATTTTATACAAAATTCAATGATTTATTTATTTAATGCCTGTGTTAAATTTTTATTTAAATAAAGATTAGAAGATTGAAAAATATAATAAAGTATATATAATTTTCATAGATTTTATAGATTTTTTTAATAAAATAAGAAATATTCTTCAAGTGAATTGAAATGATTTATTTTTTAAATCATATTTATGGTAGAATCCAGTTGAAATCCTAATGTGATCGAAGCTCAAACAATTGAAATCCTGATATTTTCTTAGTTCTGGTGTTTCCTAGACACAATAAAAATTTTGAAAGGATTTTTTTTATATTGTATTTTGTTATATACAACTAATTTCAGAAAGAAACACAAGTAGTTTTAAAACTTATTCCGATGTCAAAAAACTTATTTCATGTCAATTTGTGTTCCATTTCATTCAACCCGTTACAGCAGGGCTTCTTAAACTATGGGTCGTGACTCCATTTGGGGTCATTTAGCAAAATCTTGGGTTGCGAGATTTTAATGCAAAATACTGAAAATAATTTGTGATAGTTTGAAAATGGCACGTTTTGTGTTATAGGTTTCATGAGTTGCACTTTGTGTCACTTCTGATGCAGTGAGACAACGATTCAGCAACACTGATTGTAGTGTGAACTAGTGTAGTGTTGTCACTTTTCAGTGTATTCAGTTGTCTCTGTTCCATTGTAACACAAGAGTGAACTGTGGTAGTACACCATTATTGTTTTTGCAAATTTGTATATATCTTTATTTTATATTTTTTGGGTCACGAAAAAAATCGCAATCATAAATAGGGTCATGAATAAAAAAAAGTTTAAGAAGCCCTGCGTTACAGTATTGAAAAAGGAAAAGACCAATAAGAATTTATGTTCATTAAAAAGTTTTTAAAATTATGTTCTCTTTGAATTTCTTGTTCATTATTCTAATGTTAGACATTTCATTATAAATAATTTGTGAGAAAGACTGTAACACACTGTTGAAAGTGCTTGCTTTTGTGAGATCCAGAATTATATTAACTAAAATTTTAATTATCTTTTTCCTTATGTTTATGTAACGAATTAGAAGAAAAAAATCGATCTTAGCCGGGAATGTGTAAACCTTCCTGTCATAACTATCAACATCTATTGTTCTTGCATAACTTGCAGCTCGACTTGTGCAAAAGTTTATAGTTAGCATCCAAATTTCGTCACTTGTTTTAGGTCCCTGGAACACCTATAACCTTTAGCTTTTGAACATCCGATTATGTGGTAGAATTTCCCCGCAAAAAGCTATAAAAGACAGTTCTTACCCCCTCTCGGGGGAGTCTCTTAATGAAAGCCGGACCGACAACATCGAGTCGATTCTCCAAACCTGCCGAAATTCTGATCTACGAGCATCGGTATCCGATCATCGCCAGAGTCGCAAACTTTTTATATTTGTGCTCATTTGGATTAAAACCACCTTTCCTTGGACATTTATGTGCCTACATGGACTTACTCATCTAGAAACCATACAAAGAGGTATGAAAAAAACGTGTAAACTCTCTCTTGAGCTGTTAGGCGGTTTAGTAACAAGATCAGTGTAGTCGTTTTGTCGAATTTTGTTCATTTTAATAAATTCTTATTTTTACTTGTTAAATGGTAGACTCCTTTACTCGTATACGAATGTCACCTTATCATCGACCTCAAAGTACTCTCCCTCCACTTGCCTGACCTTTGAGAGTCCCAACCCTCAGGACCAGAAATAGTAAATTCAGCCATCTTGACAAGTGAGCAGGTTTAATGACCTGTCGCCGGAACGGGAGACCTCCAGCCTCCCCGGCGGTTTACACTTTTATATATTTTGTGTTAATGAAAAGAGTTTTAACACTGAAACATTATTATTTATTGTGTGTGATCATTATTTGTGGAATTTGTATCAAATGTGCTTTCAATTTTAGTAATTTTATTAATGCTTTTATGTACTCTGTAATAGCATATTATAATAAAATGTGATTTGAATACAATCAGTTATTCTAGAACTAATTCTAAGTACGTTAACACAGACTACCAAAACAAGTATTACAACTGTTATGTGATGATTATAAAAGTAATAAAACATTTTCTTTATTTTTAAATTTTAAATATAGTGATCTGACATCATTAGACAAATGGACATTTAGTTGTGTGATTTTTTTGTTTTTATAATTTGTCAAATTTTTGTGAATCAGGACTTGATCTGTTAGATTTTTTGAGCCCATTGGGATTTTGAATTGGAACAATTTTTATTATTATCTTAGTCTTTATTAACTTTTATTTCATTGTAGTTATATGTATTACTATGAATGATGTATATTAATTAACAGCTATCAATTAGTTAATAAAGTCATAAAGTGAAACTTTATTTTTCATTTTCTCATTTCATTTTTTTTTTTCTTTTTTTAATATTATAAAAGAAAATGTTATTCTTACATTGTTTTTTCAGGTGTTTCTCCAGCCACTTCTGCAACGCGTGTACTTCCTCAAAGATCATGGGCAGCAGCCATTCCAACACTTCTTACTCATAAAGCATATGATTTGTTATGCAGTCCAAGTCCATTACCAAACCCGTCATTACCTTGTGGAACTATGGTTGATTCTAGAATGTCTGCATATTCACCATTAGAAAGATTTTTAGGTTGTTTGTTTATGCGTCGTAATCTTCATCGGGTTATACAAAGTGATGAAAGTGTAAGCTGTTTAGTTATATATATATATTTTTTTTTTATATATATATTTGTTACAATAGCACTTCCATTATAAGAAACTTTGCTTCAGACAGCTACCAAAAATGTTGATGAGTGCCTACAAATAGAAATTAATAGCAGTTTTGTTGATGCTATTATAGTTCTTTTGGTCATATTATGACTAACAGTAAAATGTTGATTGTCCATATCAAATCAGAAAATAGTCAATAGTGTTTACAATGGCAATATATTTAACAAACTACATATTCATAAAATAAGAACCATTTAAGCCAACATTTTAAAAAATTTCCTTATTAAAATGCGTTAGCAGTATTGTAAACTATTTCTTCACACAATTGTCATAAAAAAAATTAAGCCACTTGTTAAAACTGACAAATTCAAACATTCACTATAGACAAAGAAAACCATAGCTACAGTCTTTCAGGATCACAAAAGCATTTTTTTTTATATGGACTTTAGGTCAAAGAACACCCATCAAAATTGAATTTGTATTGTATTGTTGTATTGAAGTTAGAGTTGAAATTGAAATTGTAGAAACTCTGAAGAAGCTACAATATGAAATTCTGAACTACTAACATATGAAATATGTTTATTACATAATTCACAATCACTTGTTGACATCCATACATATACATTTATTCAAACATCTCAAATTGGAAATTTATGAGCATCTTCCATGCAGTCTAAATCTAGTAACAAGTGATAATCACTTGTTTTTTTTTTTGTTTTTTGTTTTGTTTCAAGAAGGTTTTTATCTAGCTTGCATATGTAGAGTGACAAGCAGGGGTTGTACTGCATAGCACCAAAATTGCCACTTGACAATATTTTTATTAAAGTGGCAATAAAAATCCCAGTTCATTTGTTTTGACATTTAGCGTGAAATTGAATAAAAAATTGTGCTTTGGAAAAAATAGCAAAATGTCGAGCTTATGTACAATGGGAATCCTGTACATCACACACCTAGCAATTTCGTGACGTCAAACAGCAAGTTTGGGCAGAAAGGTAAAAAGTGATGTCAAGAACCTAAGGCAATTTTGTGCAATGCCACCCAGTGTTTCCAGAGTGGGGATTTTTTATTGACTGAAAGAAATTTTGGGGAATTTTTTGGGATGACTTTTTTTATACTTTGATCATTTTTCAGTAGACCAAAATAAAATTTTTGATATGACAGAACCTGTGAAATATGTTATTCAGAATTATTCATTAAAAAATTATTCAAAAATGATTGATTGCTATTGCTAACAAAGGGAAGGCCAGACATTTGGGTCTCCGATTAAAACAAAACTTGGTGAGCATGTAGCCTTAAGCACAAACAGCTCCTTGTCCAAATAATAGAACTCACTTCTCAATTGCTTCCAAAAATTGGGCCTCTGAAAATTTAGTGTTTAGGTCATAAGTGTTCGAAAGTTTCACATCCCAGAGTGGCGATAGCCAAGTGAATAAGACCCTAGGTACTGAACCTAGACACTGTAGGTTTGAACCTTCAGAGTTTTAGTTGTAGTTTAGTTTTTTTTAATATATAACTTTCTAATTTTACCACATCTTTAGGATCATTATTACTATTATTATTCCTCATGTTTAAAGTTTATAAAATGAGATTAAACATTGTGATGTCATTTCCTGTTTAGCAAAAACAAGTCTCTGTAGATTTAACTGTTTAACATTGTTAAATAAGACTTTTATTTCTTCACATTTGGTTTCACATATTTTACATACTATGTCCTCACAAGCAAATAAGCTTTGGGCATTACTGAACATGGACAAAAAAGACAAGTGATATGAAAATAGGGTAGCATAGTCGCAACATTTTATTTTTTTAATTGTTAATATTATGGATAATATCCTCATGTGCTCATGTTTGTTACACTCCAAATGTCACAATACCTCCATATCTGAAAATAAATATGAAGAAAATTTGATTTAGCAATATAAGAGTTAAATCTAGAGAGGCTTGTTTTCTGTAAGCAGGAAATGACATCAATTTTTAATCTCTTTTTTTATAAGCTTTAAATGTGTGGAATAATAATAGTAATAATAATGCTAATGATGCAGTAAAATAATAAAATAATGTCATACATAAAAAAAACTAAACTAAAATTCCTAAGGATCGAACCTACATTGACTAGCTCAAATGCTTTGCATCATATTCACTTGGCTATTGCCGATCTTGGACAGGAAACTTTCAAAGTCTTCTAAGCTAAACACTAAATTTTCAGAGGCCACTTTTTTGGAAACATTTGAAAAATAAGTCCTATTTTTTGGTCGAGGAGCTGTTTGTGTTTAAGGCTATGTGCTCACAGAGTTTTGTTCAAATCGGAGACCTGAACGTCTGTCCCTCTTCTTGTAAGTGACAGTTTAACATGTCACTTTTGCTTTCCAGACACCAAACCAATAAGCCTATCAGCACCTTCATTAATTAGTAAGTAAAACTGGTGCTGATAAACAATTTGAAGTGGCAAAAACAATTTAAAACTGGCAAAATGGTGGTGATATTTTTAAATTTTCCAGAGCAACCTCTGGACAAGAGGCAAAAGATGCTGCACAACATTAACCGAAAAGCTTTGTGATATTTTTGATAAAATTATACAAAAATTATTACTTCAAATCCTTTCAGTTTAGCCCATGATGCAACAAGTGGCTTAATTTATATGACAATTGTGTGAAGAAATAGTTTAATGTATTGCTAACATATTTTAATACAAATATTTTTAAAACTTTGGCTTAACTTGTTCTTATTTTCTGGATATGTAATTTTTAAATACATGTATTCATATTTAGGTTAAAATATTTTGTTAGTTTTGTTTATAATTATTTTACTTTATTTTAAGAAAGATAAAATAGAAAACAAATAAACTACATAAATGATACAAACTAAGTGTAAAAATATAAATAATCTAATAATATTATTTGCCATTTGCCATTGCTAACAACAAGAAAAAATGAAAAATTTTTTTTTTTTTTTTTTTCTAATTATCTGATGTAAATAAACCATCCAAAGTTAAAATTAGAAACATTTTCCAGATTTTTATTTTCTTTTATTAACTATAATAACTTTAATGCAAATACCAAATAAAAATGAGGTAAAATGAAACCAAAAGTAAGTTCTTACAAAATTGTTTTACTGTAATAGTTTTTTCTTTTTGTTGTATTTAATTAAGCTAATTAAGCAAAATGAAGACTCCAAAATATATCTAATTTTAATTTGACTCTTTGCATTTACATTAGACCAGTGGTTCTCAATGTTTGAGGCTGTGGAACATAATTCATATACTTTTTACTATGTAGAAAATTAGTATCAATATATTAAAAAATTGGTAAGCTATTCCGTGATTACTATTCTCACAAAACAATGCAACAATAAGCTAATAAACTTTATTGTATTGAATAAAGTAATAAACATGGAATTGTCTACAAATAAATTACATCAAACTCACAATTATTCACGCATTGTCAAAATATTAGAATTATTGTAAAATGACAAAGTATCATAATCAACATTCAGCTTTTCTTTCCTCCCTCAACTGTCAGTTCTAAGGGACAGAAGTGAGGTAAGTCATTAGTCCTAGAATATTATTTTGCAGTAGGCAAAGTTGGTGCTATAAATAGTAGATTTGAAAAAAGAAATATCCTATAAGTTCTAAAATTAAAATTTGGAAAAATTACAAGAATTATACATAGAAATGTAAAATTTAAATTTTTCATGACATTTTTGAAAATAGAAGAAATCTACATTTTATGTTCATTGACTAAATATAATGTACATTTCTGCTTATGAAACTTGGGACTCACACTTGAATTGCATTATAACAGAATTGAATTACTGTATATATATACTGTAGTTCATTTAAAACCTGTGAATAGTTTTCTTATAATGTAGAGGGCTATTTTGGATTATATGTATTTTCTTTTTTTTCATGAACACCTGTGCACTAATTAGATGGATTAAGTGGGAGTCATCAAACTCCCAATTAGTCCATTAATATGTTAGAGTACATTGGAATAAATTTACAATAACAGTTTAAAGTTTTTTTTTTTTGAACACTTTCGAAAACTTTATGGAGCACCTGTGTTCTGGGAACATGGATTGAGAACCACTGGTTTAGATTAACATTATTTATCATACCTGGTTTATAAAATAATAAATAACATAATATTTTTTAGTTAACATCTTTGACTACAACAGAACCAGGTGTGATCCAGTTTAAAGTAGAAACAATGCAATGTCGTGTTAGTTTAAATATCAATACTCTTCAGTCCCTCCACTTAAAACTTACTCCGACAGCTGAATATAAAGATCAATGGTTAGGTGAAGAATTACAAATACTGGAAAAATTTTTTGATAATAAAGTAAGATACTTATTTTCTCTCTTGCTAAATATAAATTAATATTTATTACAAATTTATTATAATTTTATTTTTTAGGTTGTATGTACACCATTTAAACCAAATGGGTTTTTAGCTTTTAGTAGAATTTTAAATGCACCAGTACAAATTTTGAAAAATTGTATAAATATTATGCGACTGGAATTAGTAAGTTTTTTAAATTTTTAATTAGTGAAAGTAATTCAAGATATATGTTTGAATATTCATTTAATTAAATTATATTTAAATTAAATTAAATTTTGAAATTTAAGATCATTATAAATAAAATCAAAGAAGCCAAATAATAATTTTTTATAATAAATTTTAAATTAGTTTCCAGATAGATCATTTAAATGGTCAGTACAGTGGTGTCTTACTATCCCTCCTTCTGCACCAAAACTCGGACCTCCAGGAATGTCTGCTGTGATGATCAAAGATAGAATGTTGTTCTTTGTAAGTATTCAAAACTTAGATTTATCATGTTTTCTTGATTTTAATGCTTGATTTTTTTAGACTTTTCTAGTCTCAAAAATTGTATTTGTTAGATTCAATGCTGCATTAGAATTGAGAAAACACAGTAATAAGTAAATATTGTAAATTAGAATAGCAGATATAATTTACATATATAATGTATTTCATTAAATTTGTGTACTGAAGCTTAAATTTATTACTAGATAATTTAATTAACTAAAATATCTTAAATATTTATCATTTTTAGGTTACAAAAAAGTCCTAAATATAAAATATTAAAAAAGAAATATTGAGAACTAAAAATATGCAGTTGTTCCTCATACTTCAAATGTTCTGGAGTTCAAATGATATTACTACATACTGCATGCACAGCAAAAAAATTTGCTCATTGTGGAAAGCATCTCTAGTATTATGCTTGTGTGTTTACAGTTTTTATTTTTGGGATGTTTGATTATATATATAACCCCTACCATGGCATCCAAAAAGAGACTGGAAGCAACAAACCCTTAGAGAAAGGTTGTAGCATCAACAATTGAGACAAAAAGGGAAATTATTGCAAAACATGAAAGCAGTAGAAAGAAGTACATGTGGCAGATCTAGTGGCCATGTTTAAAAGGTCAAAGTTGACAGTGTCCACCATTATTTCTTCAAATGAAATTAATTAGCCACATTTGTGGCTAATGGTGTGAAAACATTGACTTCCAATAGATTTTATGTTACTGAGGAGATGGAAACACTCCTCCTGTTATGGATGAATGAGAAGCAATTGGCTGAAGATATCTATATATGTATAATTAATTTCATTAATATAATAATAAATTAATTAATATATATATAATTAATTTCATTTGAAGAAATTTCAAGCATAAAAGTACAAAATTACTTCTAATATGCTTATACAGTAGTGCCTTGTACTTCAAATTTAATTTGTTCCAGGAGATGTTTAAACTGATTTGAGCTTGGCTAGACTGAGGTCTACAAGGCTACAACAAACAGTTGGCTTACAAAATATACCTTTATTTATAACAGTTTTTGTGTTCAGCAACTGAGGGCTCATGTGAACTCTCCAAGAAAAAACAAATCCTTTACACAGTCACATGTCCCAAATACAAATAAACTTCATACCGTCACTCTCCTCCCTTCCTTAACGGGTAACAAGGTTTACACTAGTTTACTATAACATGTAAAGTATAATGAGATCAGCCTATTCACTGAAATCCGGCACTTAAACAATAAAGCATCTGACCAACAGCTATCACACGTGGAGACAAAAATAATTACTTGAGTGGATACCTTGGGTACTCTAACTTCCTTATTGTTTCTATCCACTCAATTATTTCCTTGTGCACTACGGATGGAATTGGATTCTATTCCTCTTCTCTCGATGGCTGAAACAGGTCGTCGTTTCTTACTCCGGTTCTTTTCAATATCCCTTGATGTCGCCAATTCTAACTAGACTCCTAAGGGAAATCCACAAACAAAGTCCTTTATCACACGTGAACCTGCTATTTATATCCCTTCTTGCTGCCCTCACGTGACCTCTTGGGTAACCAATCAAAAGGTCCGTTTACACATACCATGAAAAGGAAACACGGAGTGAGAAGGACACATGTCAACACGGACGACAAAACAAACAAAGAGGGAAAAAAAAGAAAATCTGATACAGTAATGAACATGATAAAATTAATGCTAACTAAGTACAAAGGATAATTATATATACAAATAATATACACATATACTTTACTAAATAACCACCAATAAGTGGCAGTGCACTACAAAACTCTGAATTGTTCAAAGTTCAAATCAATTTTCCCTGTTAGAAATAATGGAAAGTGAATTAATATGTTCCCAGACACCCTAAACAATACTCATTTCAATAAACCTAAACAGCAAATAAATATAATTCAAGGCAAGGCAAAAAATAACATAATTAAATGCCCTAAATAATAAAATAAAACTTGAAAACAATAAATAAAATATATAAATACTATATAATAAAATTAAATTTGCATTTACTGTACCTTGGTGAGTAGTGGTGATGTCCCATTTTGTAAGATTATTGTGCAGCTTGATTGACTTTCTCACAAATAATTCTCTTGGAGATGATATCATCCAGCCATTTGCTTCCCATTTATCTACATTAGGAATTTTATCTCCTCAATAACATGCAATCACCCGGAGATTAATGTTGTAACACCTTTTGCCACATTTACTGCTTTTATTTCTTCCTTGTTCTTAAGAATGGTGGACACTATTAACTTTGACATTTTAAACATGGGCACCAGATCTGCCACACACTTACTGCTTTCATGCTTTGCAATAAGTTCCTTTTTTGTCTCAATTGTTAATTATAGGGTCAACAACCTACAACCCAAAAATAAAGTGAAAAAGCACTGAAAGACACACGAAACACATGGGTGTAATGCTAGAGATACTTCCACAACAAGAGTTAGAGATGACTTAGATGCAAACAGATGGTGTTTATGCAGCAAGTGCATTTTTTCACTGTGCACTCAGTTTGAATGTAGAAGCATTGTTCAAACTCTAGGTTGAATTTAGAATTCAAATTTTGGAATATTTGAAGTTAGTCATTCAAAGTATGAGGTACCATTGTAATTCATTTTAGGCTATATTGATGCTTTCTAGTGAAATTCTTTACACATTTCAAATATAGTGGTAATTCAAATATTTCAAAAGCTTAAATTTTTTTTAGTATTATTTTTTAATGTAAGAGTGAATTTGACAAGTCTTAAGAAATAAACTTTTGTATATGAAGAGAAAGCGACAATAGTGGAAAAATTATTATAAATTTGAACATAACATTGAAAGTATGAAAGATATTTCTGCATGATAGATTTTTCTATAGAAATACCAATAAAACAAAGTTATTTTTTTTAAGCACTTCTTTTTTCTATATATATGTAGAGCAGTGGCATGTGGTGACATTTGATGATAGGGAAGCTGTGCCAGCCCTGGATAGAATCATTGAAAGCATTATATGATATTTTGGTGGGTAGCAACCATGAGCTAAACCATGTGAGGTTGGTGCTCTGTAAAGCATATAATTGGCTGCTTTATACAATTCAAATATTTTTGCCATGGAAGCTACTGAGTATCGACAATACAGCACTTCCATTGGGAATATGCATATACAAATTTATATTCAAATATAGAGTAGCAATCTTATCTTTTTTTTTCCACATGTAGTGTAGAAATTTGTAATAAGATACATAATGTGGTTATAATAAAATATTAATTTTAATTAATTCAAAGTATGTTAAAATATGAAAATGATCACATAATATGTATTTATATTTTAGAAAATACATGGGAAGCAGTGCTTCCACAGCTTCCATGGATGGCACGCCACTGATAGAGAGAGTTTAAAAAAACAAAAATGATTTTTCTATAGTAGCAATTACTGTAATCTATCATTATTATATATATGTGTGTGTGTGATTCCATACNATCTTCTTTAATCATAATTCTTCAATCAGATTCTTACCAGGCAATTGAAATATTTTTTTATTCCTTACTTCTAAATTTTTTTAAATCTTTATTATAAATATGATATATAATGTATATTGTAAAAAAATTTCTTTTCTGTGAAAGTAAAATAAAATACAATAAAGTTATATAAGATATAACTTTATTGTATAAGTATAATAAAGTTTATGTCAGGTTCTTACCAGGCAAAAGAATTTCAGATATAATTGAAATCCACAATAATTTACCCATTACTTTATAAAGCCTTCATAATGTTTTTCAACCTTTTAGTGTTGTTGTTGTTCTAATGAAATCATTAAAGTATATTTTACTTAAATCTAAATATGGTTGGTAATTAACAATAAAATCAAAATCTGGGGTCTAAAATTAAAACTTTTTTACTCTTTTTATTTGAAAAATAAAACTTGACTTTACTAATTGACATTAGTGACAGTCAGATGGCTGAGTGGCTAAGGTGACAACCTACTCTGGGGGATGAGGATCAAATTTGAATGGATTGAAAAACTGCAGGAGTTTTTTGGGATGGTTTGTCCTGGATATATCAGCTCCATCCCTTACCACCTGACCACTCTCTTGTGAGCTTGCTAAAAGGCCCTTTTAGTGCCCAGAGTGCAGAATGAGTTTTAAAACATTGACATTAATGCTGAATTGTGCACTATCTTTTGTACCTGAGTACTCAAGATCATCTGAGTATTTGAAATATCTGAATATTATGCATTAAAGTTGCAAAAGATGGGATTTGCAAATACTAAAATTTCTTATCTTCTTTGATACAGTCTTGATCCATATTTCCACAAGAAGATGACAAAACAAGTACTTTGTTTTAGCCTGAATTTTGACAAAACATCTACAAATCCAAACAGTCTTGGTGTAAATTCAGAGAGAAATCCTTTTGATTTGAGATCATCTGAACAGCTTCAATGGTGTTGTTAGTTGGATTCTTGTATTGTTTGCATTGTGTTTCCCTTATGTACTCCTACAAACAAACTTTAAAAAGAAAAGTATCTTGATCTTCTTAAACGAAGTCAAGTTCTAAGCAACAGTTATTAAGGAAGGAATTTTAAAAAGTATGTCTTAACTTTGAGAAGTTTAGTTTTGATCATGAGCCTAAAAGATTGAGTTTGTAAATTTATTTAAGGAATTATTGTGAAGATTCTAGTGTTAAGGCAATTTATTTCATTCTGTTATGTTATTCTGCTACCATTCTTTGACAATTTGTTATCCAAGTTTAGAATATACCTGAAGATGAAATCATAAGTAATCTTGAAAATATGGTGTTTTATTATATGTTCAAGGTTTCTTATGATTTCATCTTAATTTTCCATTTTATTCAGATTAAGTTACATTCTTCATATTCAAAAATTCGTTTTCTGTTTTCATATAAATTTTACTATAAATTTTCAGCTTATAGTAAAATTTAACATAGAAAATTGCTCCATTCCAAAGAATTGTTTTATTTAGTCAGGTTTCTGCTTTATTTGTATTCCATTTTAGACAGGTTTTATTATATTTATATCCAAAATTTTGATTTCTTATACAAAGCTGGAAAATCAACATGTTTAAATTATTAAATGTATAGTATTTATCACTTCAAATTTTCACTGCAGTTTCATTTTATAAATGACAAAATTTATTGTTGAAGAGAGACAACAGCCATTCAACAGCAATGTTGAATGGCTGTTGACATGATGATTATGTCAATATTGACATCAATTAAAACATACATAACTAGAAAAAATAGTAAAAATAAATACACAGAACTTGAAAATCCAGCATCAAGTTTTAATAAACTTTATGCTGGATTTTAGAGGTTTGTATATTTACTGACAATGTATACTCAAATATTACTCAACTTTACTGTGTATTATCTTTAATTGGCAACACCAAAATTCATGAGACTTTTTTAGTGGTTACCCCTAATTCTTTTCAGTGTTGTAAAATTGTTTGCATAAAAAAATTTGAAAAAATGGCCTGCACAAAAATCAGGATGTTGATATCCATGTAAAACTGCTTTCTGAACAGGGACTGACTTCCAGAGAGATCATTAAATCACTAAAATTTAGTTCCATTGCTGTAAGTCAGAAGACAGTAAGCAATATTATTAGTTCTTATATGAAAAAACGATGGAATGCGGAAACTGGGGATTATTTAAAACTTTGTTCAAAACCTAGGCCTGCACACTGTAAAGCTAATATTGAGAAGGTCTGCAAATTACTTTCTACACCAGGAGTCGCCAGAGTGGTCAATATAACATTATTGGGGGGTCGATGAAAAGACTAAAACTTACAAATTTTGAACCGAATATTGCTAATCTTGCTAAAGATTATCAAGCTTATCCAACTCATTGATTGTCAGTTACAAAAATTATTATTAACATATGTACAATAAATGTAAAATTAAAAGATATGTATTAAAATAGTAAGAGCTTTTTTTTTTGCTTGTAACACAAACTTTTTGGTGGGGGTCGATGTGAGGTTTCGAAAAGTTGTAGGAGGTCGATGATCAAAAAAGTTTGGCAACCCCTGGTCTACACCAAACCCTCCAAGTATCAAAAACATTGCCAAGGATATTTGAACTTGCCAGAGGACTACAAAACAGAATTCATAAGAATTTGAAAGCAACAAAGGTACAGAAGACTAAAGTACATTGCCTTTCTGCAGAGCACAAACAAAACCAGAAAACAAATGCTTACAAACTGTACAAGTGACACCTGTCAGCAGGTAGATTGGAATTTATGGTGACATTGGATGAAGCTTATTTCTACTTAAGCTACTATAATGGAGTTCGGAAGATCTGTCATGCTTTTCCTGGTCAAAACATTTTCGAAACTTGGTTTATGAAGTGCTATGAAAGCTGGCCGGAAGGTTCTTGATCATCAGTGAATTAATCAGAAGAGGAACACTTCCTCTTATAAAAGTCCCAAATAAAGTTAAGGTGAATGCCGACTATTATATCAGCAATGTTCTGAAGCCATATTTTGAAAGAAAAGTTTCTCACAAGTACCCAGGAGAGATGGACAAAGTTGTGTTTCATCACAACAAAGCCTCTTCTCACACTGCAAAGAAAACTGAGGAGTATCTCGAACATCTTAAAGCATCTACAGGTCTCAATTATATAAAATAAACTTGGATATTCCTACTAAATCACTGGACATATTAGCCATTTAGACTTCTTTGACTTTGGATTTTTTAAACAACTTTTCCACTGACATGCTATAACTCTAAGTGGCTTTGGAAAGTAGTAAAGATGAAAGGTCAAATGTAACACCTGAAAAATGAAAACAAGTGTTTTTACTCGTGGAAATAGGGATGCAGGCTTGTTGACAAACAGCAAGGAGCTCACATTGAACAGACCAAAACAATTCACAGAAGGATTCTTAAAGACATTAATTGAGTAATATTTGCATATACACATTCTTTATTTTTAATATTTGATGTTTCAATTTGCACTACTGCCTAACAAATATATTATGTAATGTAAATTTATAAATCTAGTAAATTTTGGATATCAAATGGTATTTTATTTACGTTAATGATAAACTTGAAATAAATAACTTTTATTTCAGCTTCAGTTAACGAGAATTGGTCTAAATCTCCCAGCTGGTGTTGAGCCTCAAACTCTCGTGGTGCCAATTGTATATGATATGAATTCAAATACAACTCAATTAGCAGATCGTCGGGATCCTGCATCATTATCACCTACTGCTCCCATTTCCATCATAAGAAACACACTCAAGAGGTTTTCGGATTATAACCCACAACCAAGTACATAATATTAAATTAATATTTATTTTATTTTAAGTTTATGAAATTTTAATATTAATATTTCAAAACTTATTTTTTATAGCTGAATGCAGTATATATCCAGCCATCAGGGAACTTCTCACAAATCTTGTCATTCCCATCTAATTGAACATAAGTTTAATTTAAAATTTTCATTATCATCCAATCTGTTTATATTGTATGAAAGAAGAGAATGGGGAAACATTGTAAATTGAACAAAAAATAAATTGTGTACAGTGCCTGTGATTTCTTTAATATAATTGCTGAAAAATAATATATGCAGTGTATTATTAATTTTTTATATTTTATAAATAATTTAAAAAAACATCATTAATTTAAGTTTTTAATAAATATAATATACATTATTAAGTTCATATTTTAATTTATGCCTATTTATTTAAAAAACAAAATTAATATTTTTATCATTATTTGGAATTATGCCTATTCTTATGAAATTCTAGTAATAAAATTACCAAAAGAGATTGAAGTTGAAAGATTTTGGGAGAAAAACAACTTTGATACTAATTGTGATTGAAGATTTGAGAGCAATGCGATATGATCTGACCTAATATCTGGAAGTTCTCAACCAACCTCCACCAGATTTGACATTTAGACTGTTCACCTTCTTTATTTAATTCTTGATGCTGATCAATACATTACTCAAGTCTTGTATTATAGAATCAATTGAACAGAGGCTCTCAGACCTGAAATGTGTTTTGACTAATGTATGAATCAGAGTCATGAATTGAATAATAAAGGGGGAACAGTCTAGTGTCTTCAATTCAAAAACTCCATTGTGTTTTCATAAAAAGGTATATAAATATCAGTATTGTGTGTATTTATAAGTTCAGGATAAATCCATATATTTTCTGTATATAACATTAAATTATCCAATTAATGACTGACAATAATATGAATGCAAAATATTCAATACAAAATACAAAGTTTATGAGAAATTAAGTTATATATTTGAAATACATGTAATAGAACCTACTTGTAATCACTTTGAGACTTGCATTACTGATGTTGACAACTGAGAAATAACAATGGTATAATTCAATAAGACTACAATTAATGGAATTTCTGATTTTACTAACTCTGACATTAGAAAGACATATTAATACAATTGTAAATTGTGTAACTTAATGGTTTATTAATTATTATTATTATTAACACCTGAACAGTGCATTTCTGGACACCTATATATGGGACCAAAGTTGTCATATCAGTCTACAAACATTGGTAAAGTTTGGCACCATTGTCATGAATCAACCTGTATATTGATTTAATTTGGAAAATTGGAAGTGGTTGTGAATATGACAAGCATGCAATTTGCCCATAGTTGCTTTTGATGATTCAGAGGATTATCAAAAGAGGTAAGGAATAGAAAATCCTTTGATAATTGTTGGCTGCTTCAAATGTTCTGACATTGTAGGTTGATTTACACATTCTGGCTTCATCTGGGAATGGAAATGAATGAAAGTAGTTACTTTTTATTTTTTATATTCTTTATATTTTTGGAGATGCTTGGATCTAAGATGCCATTTTAAATTTGTTTGATACCAGTGACTTAAAGTAACAGTATATTTTGACTTTTGCAAAGTAATATCTAATTAAACAAGCAATTATTTATTGTGACACTGTCACAATGCCAGGCTGCAATTTTTAATTTAAAATATATGCTCTCCATCTCAAATTAGTAGTGTCTTGCCTCTGGTTATCATACTTTTTCATTAGCAATAGAGTTGTGCGATCATCTATGTAACTTCTTTTGAGAAAATTTTGAATTGAAATAACATGACTTCCAATTTGCACCAAGTTCATATATAGTTACCATATATCTCAGCAGATAAGACGATAGTTGAATCATAAAAAAAGGCCCCCAAAATACAGGGTCATCTTATAGGACAAATACAAAAAAAATTAGATTGAAATTTATATAAATTAAAACCATTATAAAAAGACAGACAAACTGTAATTATTTACTAGAAGAGAGTTGGGTATGTGCACAAAATAGAATAGCCCATACGATGTTTTTGTGAATAGTCAAGATCATTTCCTGAATGCCGAATCAGTGCCAATGTTTGCAACAATAGCAAGGCAGTGCTGCCAGATGCAAGAAAATAAAATTTGTTCATTTGAAAAATTACAAATAGGATGTAATTCTGTATACACTATACACTATATTCTGTACACTATACAGTATTATTATTCAGATGATGATCGCTGATCTAAACTAAATTTATAGGCCGTTGATAGTTTGAGGGTTATCTTATAGGGCAGATATATGCTAAAACTATGAAACTTTGATGAAAATTTATACCTCGTCTTATCTGCCAAGATATATGATAATTGGGGCCTCCTGCCCCTAATCTTTCCATAACTGGTCTCAACTTTCATCTATCTGACTGTTTTCGACATCAAGGAAAGACAGACAGAAAGATGGACAACAGTGGAAATTTATAAGTTCATAATTTTTTCAAATTGCAGCCCAAATAGTCCCAAATTTTTCCTTTTGGACTACCACCACAATATGATTGTTTAGGTTTCATAATGCTTTGCAATTTTTGGAAGACCAAAAATCTTCACTTTGTTTTGATCTCCTTGGTATAAATGCATAAAGTAATGAATTCAGTCACATTCCTATTTTGACCACTGTAAGAATAAGAATTACGAACAATGGCAACATACCAGTCAAATGTTATAGCAACTATACAACCATTTTGATTTTCAGAAAGTATGGATTGATAATCATGGATGATGAATTTACTCCATACGATTATCTTTTGACTATAAAAAGGTTTCTGATGTGGTTCTTGGAGATGTTTGACTCCAATACCTCATGTTCCGTTTGTTTATATTTTACAATTTAAAATGTGCTTTATCTGATATTATCAGTCACCAAATGAGTATTCTGGTTGCTTTGTTACAACTGAAGAAATTGTTCACAGAAAGTCTTTCTTGCCTCACAATCATGGTTTGACAGTTGCACCTCTTGAAACTTGTACAGTACAGGTGATAACTCATGTCTGTGTGCAATGTCTGATTCAGTGACCTTCATAACAGCTACATTGCCAGTTCATGTCTGCATGTCATTTGCCTGGGACTTTGTAAAATAGCACTCTATGGATGCTAGAAAATATTGCATGCATGCTGTCCTTGAATTGCCACTAGTCCTCCCAACTGCAAAAGCTGTACTGTAAAGTTATTCACCCAGTTCTTTATGGTACGTCAGTCTGGAACTCACTCATATTTCCCAATGTTGCCCAAATTTTCAATGAATTACTTATACATTTATTACTTATACTTATACATAATCACCATTTTTGAAATACAACTCTATAGCAAAAGCATATTGTACAGCCAATTAACATTCCATGTTAATGCAAACAGCATCAACAGCTTGAAGTAGGGATAATACAGGTGTAGCACACATGCACAATGAGAGATGTCTCATTATATTGTGATACCTTTGTACATTAAGACATGAATATATCATTTATCAGACTGAAGCAAAGGAAATAAAAGGATTTTGTAATTTAAAATATTTTTATATCATTGAAGACTTAGTCTGCTTTAAAACTACATGACCATCCTCATTTTGGCAAAAAAATTACAAGTACAGATTGTCAATCTTTATGCTACTAAAAAATAATATTAATATAATGGAATATGATGTATAGCAAAAATTTCATGCTAAACAAGTAAGTAAAATACAGAGGCAGAAATTATTCTGACTTGCAACAAATAAATTGTTTTGTAAATATAAGACTATCAGTAAAACCCTTTTAGAACAATTAAGATATGGTGAAAAAGAAAGTTTGAAAATTATTTATTATACTGGAACAGGCATATTACAAAGTAGGGTAAAAGATTGAAAAAAATGTGAATAGATGTATTACAGGCAATTATAGCAACTCATTCATTGTGCCACAAGGTTGAATCTTATTGAAATACAACAAATACTACTGTGATCAAAAAGTATCTGGAATAGTTAATTTAAAATGCTTGTGTGCAAGAGAGTGCTGTCATCGTTTTTTTGTCATTTGCTATGATTCATCGACATCTAATGGCATTCTGTGTGTCATTGTCTGTTTTTGTTTGCAAATAAATGCTTGTTTTGTGTGTAAAGAATTTTTGCACTGGTGATTTTTTCAAAATGTCAAGTGTAATTGAGCAAAGAATGTGCATTAAATTTTGTTTTCATAATGAAATTACAGCTACAAAAATGTTGAAATGTTGCAAAAAGCCTTTGTTGACAATAGTCTATTAAAAATAAGTTTTTGAATGATACAAGATGTTTGAGGAATACACCCAATGCATCAAAGACAAACCATAGTCTGGTAGACCATCCACTTCAACTGATGAAAAACACATTATTTAAGTCAGAGATTTGATGCTTAATGATTGTTGTTTAACAATTAGGGATATTATTGAATATGTTCCAGTATCATTTGGATCTTGTGAAGAAATTTTAAGATTTCAGCTTGTGGTGCATTACTTTTTGAGTTGTCCTGAAAATGTTGAATTTTTTCCAAAAACATGTTCAAGTGCCTGAGGAAATGCTTTCTCAAGGTGAATCATTCTTAAAACACATCATTATAGGTTGATGAAATATGGACCTATGCTTCTGACACTGAAACAGTTTAAGTGAATGGAATGAGATGTATCAAAAGTCTGTACACTTCATTGATTCCATTTAGTCCAATTAGTAGGAGATAAAAACCGACAATTTCAATAGATGCATGACAATGCTTTTTTTTATTAATCTCATTCAACAAGAGTGGTTTTCCAAAGAAGAAATAACTGTTCTTTCATGGTTATCAAAATCTCCAGACTATATCACATTGAAAATATCTGAGGATGGATAGCTAGAAAAGTATTGCAAATGGAAAATAATTTAACCTTGTAATTGAATTAGAAATTGCTGTTATGAGAACATGGGATGATATTGATACTGAAATGCTTATTTCAGTATCAATAATATGGAGCCAGAAATTCATGAAGTTATTGATGGGATGATAAACCTATGGAACATATTCAAAAATTAATAACAAGTATGTCTAATTGTATTTTTCAGGTTATTGCCAAGAATTATTGGAAATTCATTGGCTATTAAATGTACAAAAAGAAGCCATACCTTTGTCTGGTCTTAGGAAACATGCTTTTGACGTTTTTTTATAACATATACAAGTTACAAATATATTAAAGTATTTATGAGAATTAAAATGTACACTAAAATCTCATTGAAAACGTGTGTTTGTTTCTGTTGCTGTCTGCATTCTC